AAGGTGCTGACTTTTCTATGACGGCCGCCTATCAAAGCCGGTGAAGCCCGGGAGAGCACTCTCCGACGGCTCTCAAACACAAAGGAAATGCGCATTTTATGAAGTCAACCGTTTAGCACGTGCTAACGCGCGTTTCTATGGCAGTACTTTAAAAACCTTATTACTTTGCGAAGGAACCGATTTTATCACTACCTCAGCGAACCAAGATACCCCAAAATCTTAAGCGAAAACTAGATAACAAAAGCAATATCGTTCCTACTTTTCAGCAGCCTTACTTCGCTACAGAGACCTCCACCACCCCAGTTTTAACATTCCTACAGCGCAGTGCAGCCCCTTCCACGACCCTGTGGGCGGCCCTGAAAAGGGCCTTTTTGGTTGTTTTGAAACGGACTCAGCTTTCAGCCGCCGAAGCCGTAGAGGGTGCGTCCCTGGCGCTTGAGCGCATAGACCACGTCCATGGCGGTGACAGTCTTGCGCTTGGCGTGCTCCGTGTAGGTGACGGCGTCGCGGATCACGTTCTCCAGGAACACCTTGAGGACCCCGCGAGTCTCCTCGTAGATGAGGCCGGAGATGCGCTTGACGCCGCCGCGGCGGGCCAGGCGCCGGATGGCGGGCTTGGTGATGCCCTGGATGTTGTCGCGCAGGACCTTGCGGTGGCGCTTAGCGCCGCCCTTCCCCAAGCCTTTCCCTCCTTTACCACGACCAGACATGGCTGTTAAAGCAGTGAGTGTTCGGGACTAAAGCGGTCCTTTAAATACTGCTTTTGCGGACCTGATTGAAAACAACATGCCTTCGCGGAGTCTTTTCGAAATTAGGTCATCAAGGGGGCGGAGCAAGGAGAATGTTTTATTAAGATTTCGATGTTTTGATTGGCCGGTGAAAGCTATCGTTGGGCGAGCTGGAAAGGGAGGTACAGATTTCGTTGCGCTGAAAAGCTTTAGTTTCTCTTTTGTATTGCATTGTTTCTCATCAGTTCTACGATGCTGAGGAGAGAGCTTCATTCCACGCTTCTTTTTATTTCCACTTAGTTACTAATAAGTTAGGTAATGGTTCCTTGGGAAAAGTACAAATAATGTCTGAAGGAGGGTGAATTTACAGGTCAAGAGATATTTCCCCCCCAATTCTATTAATATTCCTATGTAAACCGACGCATTTGAAGGCCTTCTGTGTGCTGAACAAAGCATAAGCCTGGCGATGACGAAGCTCTGCCCATAAAGTCCTACGTTTGGGAAGACAAAAAGGTAGACAAAGAATTGCAAATTAGAACCTCTTCCTATTCTTCTCAACTCAAACATTTATTGGCTAACTCCTTTTTCTGCAAAAGTCTGTGAGAGAGGCAGAGATCATAAAGCTAAGCTTGGATAATCAGTTGCCCCTGGACCCTCTTCCTGCTCTTCTGTGCCTGTCTGCTCTGCCTGCAGTTCCAAATAGGCTTCCTTTCTCTTCTTTATCAATCCCCTTTCAACCTGCTCCAGTTTTAGAGACTGGAACATACGTTTTGTAGAGATGGGGATTAATTGTAGTGTAGGGCTAATACTCGATTAAGGTCATTACAAAGCCTAAAGGGTCCTCCCCTTGGAGGCCTTTGATAAGATTATTGGCGTTAAAACGAGGATAATCCCATTTTTTTAAAAAAAGGCAGAATAGCAGAATGGGAACTTACGTGGTTTGAAGAGGCTTCTCAAATCAAATTTTTCTTTCTCCTTATCTTTCTGCTGCAGATTTTGGAGAAAGCATTTTGTTCTTAAATATGTGTGGTGGCCACAAAGAATATTTAATAATACATAAAGTACACACAGCACCGTAAATTTATAAGTAAATAAGAAATAACATAGTAATGTACGATTAATGATAATGTAACATAAGAATTTTGGCCTATACCTCCCAGTAGGCCTCAATCACCTGCCGTATTTTTATTTTTCTGTTATAACAGCACAAAACTTGGTGTACTTGACTCAGAGAAGGGTTGTTTTCCTTTTGTTCGGTTCCCAGTTCAGGCAGCTCGGCAGTGGCCTGTGATTCCAGCCATTCAAATAGCTGGTAAGTCGTTTTCTTGCTCGTTTTCTCAAATTTCCGGGTTTTTTTTCCTACAAGCAATCTCCCCTAGCAACACCCTTGTCTATCCTTTCACCCTCGGAAAACCCCCAGCCCTGGCACTCCAGTCACATGTTCACATGAGACATTTAACCATGACCACTAGGTGTCACCCATCTTCTTACCAACATGCTTTGTGAGAGGCTTTGCTAAATGGCGAGACAGATGCGCAATTTAAAATGGAGGTCTTCGATTTTTCAAATGTAGTTGACCTTAAAATTTGATGAACAAAGCCAGAAAAATTAAGCTAAGAAACACTGAAAGAAAATGGAGATTTATCACATCTGTTATAGGAAAATAAATAAATAAACAGGCCACAGTTGCTGATGGTTAGTAAATACGTTACTGTGAAGACCAGGGTATTTCTTGAAATCTCAGCCTGCGTGAAATAGAACCAATATAAAACAAACCGTTACCTACTTAATTGTAACATATCTTTCATGAGGTAGAAGAGTAAGAGAAGCCTTTTGGAAGTTTGCTTTGAGTACAGGATGATATTTAAAGAGAAAGAACTTGTCAGTGTGCTTCCAGCATAGTATGAAGGCAAAATAATCAGTGCCTTAAAGCTTAGACAATACTGTCCTTAGAACAAAGCAAAACAAATCCAGCTTCCGGGATTTAGTGAAAATATTCCATAAAACAAAATGTAAAAAAAAATTAAAAGCAATAAAAATGGCCTGAAAATGACAGAAATTAAGTATATACATAAGATGAACATCAGTAAAATCACACAGTACACAATTGTACATTTATTAAAATATACGTATTTGTTAATTTTACATATTTTAATGCATCAATAATACAGAATTAATTCACAAGTTAACAGAGTTTATCACTTACTAATAAAATAATAGCTTTAATTTTATTTATTTTCAACTCTTCTACAATCAGTGCGTATTACTTTTACTTTTTTCTACATAGCTTTCATAGCCAAAAAAAAAGTTTAAAAAAATAAAAAAGTTGAGATGTCTTTGCTTACATTCAATGCCTGCCAAACTTTGGAGCTGCATTTCGTCTTCTGAGGCACCTGCCCTCCAAGACAGAATGCTTGTATCACAGTTACGCACCCACGTGTATGTTGTAGCATAAACACGTTTGTTATATATCTGTGTGTGTGTGTGTGTATATATATATATTAAAGACTCTTAAACATGGTCAAATGAGTGGCCTGGTTAGATTAATTTTTCTGAATGTGCACAACTGGGGATGAGAACCAGAATCCCAGAGACTTCAAGAGGATGCCTGGGCATCCTCTGAGCCACTTGGTGGCTTCCGTTTTCCCATCTTAAAATGAAAATGGTTGCCACAGTTTGTTGAGGGAAATACCACCAGGGTTCTGACTCTGTAGGCACTGGCCAGAAAGGACAGTGTGAAGCCCAGCATGGCAACTAACTGACCCCAGCAATCACAGTCCCTGTGTGGGGACTGAAGAGACAGATGTCAGGAGAGCAACAGAGGAGTAAGGAAGTTACATTTGGGGACCTTCCCACAGAGACCATGAAAAGAAACATGGCAGCTGAGGATCAGTAGATTGTTTTCTGATGTTTCCTTTCATCTCACAGCAAGCCGTGAGATATTTTGTACTCACTTTCTTCACCTTAAGAAAAAAAAAAAAAATGGAGATCATAGTACTTACCTCATAGAATTATTGTAAGAACTGCCTGCAATAATCCACATAATTAGGTGCTCAGAACAGAGTCTGGCACCAAGTAGGTGCTTTTGCTTAGTGTGAGCCACATCATCATTATCATAATCCTTATCATTATCATGATTTTCATTATCAGAACAGAGAGACCAGGCAGAAAATTACTATGGTACTTCAGATCTGGCATACTAGAGAGGAATCGGAAATGCAGGCACAATAAGCTTCGAAAGTCTGTATGACACTTTTGTGCAGATTTCAAAAAGACACTCCTCCTCAACCCCCTTCAAGATACTTCCCCTCCCACCTGCTGAAAAACATCATAATACACACAAAATCCATGACGCCTTTTCTGGGAAAGGTGCCTCCTCTGGTTGTGCAGTGCTCGGCCTTCACAGCTGCACAGTGACCCAGATCATGCTCTGAAGGAAGAAACCCCAGAGTTTGGTGACAGATGAGTTACTGGATAAAAGAGAGCTATGAATCATAGGCTAGTTGAATGGTTCCAGGAAGAAGTGCTTGGATGTGTGTGCAAAATTCTGGTAGGGGTGTGAGTGTGCACGTCCCAGGGTGAAGGTTCATAACTTTGCTCAGATGTCAAAATGAATCGTGAGTCCCCAATCATTTAAGGAGCCCTCTTTCAGAGGTAGGAGATAAGATGACATAGGTGTATGGGGTATGGGATGACAGAGGAAATGAAGGGAACCTGTAGATGCAGCTTGAGATTCATGAGAGAGAGTTCTGGGGAGAGGTCACAAGCTCGGCATCACTGGCATGCAGGAACTCAGAAACTTAAATGGAGAGAACTCTTTGGGAAAGTGAATAGGGAAGTCTAAGAGCAAAGAGTTCTTCAGGCAGTTTCTATTTGTTAGGTCCAGTTCCATCCTGAAACATGAAGAGCTCCACAATGCACCCCATCTTTGAGTCTCTCGTTCTGTCTCCTCCCCACGGTTGGCTGCAGGCTGTATTTCACTCATACTCAGCCAAGACGTAGTCCCCCATGGCTCCTCCTGTGAAGACAAGAGGCCCAGGAGAGGCTCATCAGAGACCATGGCATCCCCTTGCCTCTTTCCTGTCCATCACCTTCTTCATTCACCATCTCAATTTTGACCACTCTGACTAGGGGGCACTACTGAATTTCAGGTACCATCATCTCTCATCTGGAATTGCTTGTTAGCCTTTTAATTGGTCTCCTTTCCTCCCATCTCCCTTCCTAACAACCCAGTCACCATTCAAGGGAGATTGTGTCCCTCTTTACTCATGTCCCTTCATTGACTCCCCAGTGATGACAACATGTCCCAAAGGACCTCAGGACTCCACATGAACTGGCTTCTGTCTGCTTCTTTTCCCCCACCACGGATATTCAGGAAGTAGAAATGCAGAATTGGTGACTGGCAGGTATGCACATTCAGGGACTGTACAGTAATTACTTCTCACCTCCCAGCATGCCTCACTCTCCCACTTGCATGGTTGCTCCACCTGTGTAGACCTCTCCTCCCCCTCACCCTTACCTAAAGAAATCCCACATTTCCTTCAAGATCCAGATGCCTTTCTTGATCCCCAGCTGAACATAACCATCCTTCTTTTGATACCCCAAAGCATTTGCTTCATACCCACTTTAAGACCTCGGGTGGTCTTCTTCAACTGCATTTACTTGTCATCGATTTCATTGCCTACTAGATTTGGGTTCTAAGAATAGCCAGTGACTTTCTCAACCTCAAAGCCTCTGCACTACCTTAAATAGCACTTGCAAACCAGTAGGTGCTTAAAAGATGTTTGTGGAATTAGAACTTTCACTCTGGGAAAAAACATTAATTCCTCTCCTGCTCCCAGGGAGGTGCTGTACCCTTGATGAAAAGGAGAGGAGAAGGCTTCCCATAGACTCCAAATCCCCTCTGCCCTGCCTCTGCCACACTTCCCACAGGAGGACGGGTGTGTCCTGGGAGAAGGGGTAAGAGAATTCCTCCTTGTTCCCACTCACTTGAAGCCTGCTTCTTCCTTATGATTCTGAATAAAATTCCAGTAAAGATAATGGCACACACAGCGATCCCACTGATGATTCCAATGACCAGACCACCAGATGGTGAGGACTCTGAAACAGCAAAAGCAAGTTAAAGCCTGTGACTGCCACCCCCAGCCCATCCCCCAACTCAGAGCAGACCCTCCTCTTACTGCCATGTTGACCCCAAGGGTCCCTCCCCGTCCCACCCACAACAGATTTTCTCAGCCCCTGGCTCTCATCTGCCACATACCCCAGGTGGCAGTGAGGGGCTGATCCAGGCCTGGGTGCTCCACCTGGCAGGTGTATCTCTGCTCTTCCCCAGGGGTCACAGCCAAGGCCATCCAGCCCTGGTAGGTCCCATCTCCATTGGGCAGCACATCCTTAGGCTCCACCACCTTGGCATCCAGAGGCTGCCTGTCCTTCAACCACTTCATGGTGATGTTCTGGGAGTAGAAGTTCAGAGCCTGACACCATAGAGTGGTCACTGCAGCTGTCATGTGACGGGTCACCTTCACCAAAGGAGGAACTTGACAGGAAAGAGGAAGGATGAGGAGAGGAATCTTTTTACCCTTGCCAGAAAACTGGAACTTTCACTTCCTTTTATGGGTTGGAGGAAGGAAATACCCCTTTCAGAATAAACAAGCTGCAGGGAAGACACCATTTTGTGTCCTAAAACTTATTCCAAGATTTGGCTCTGATGAGGTGTCACATGGAGAAATAGTCACAGTCATGTTCTACCATCCACTATGTACATATACTTACCTGTTACCCATGTGCTTTGTTCTGACAGATGAAATTGCCCTTTATGTGGGTCAAAGGTAATTGAATATGACCAACCAATTCACTTTTGCCCATTCAGATGGCCTGAGCCAAAACTAGTCGATCAGTCCTGCCCAGTACCCCTTAAAACCTGCCCAGTCCCTGGATGAGGAGAGAGATTTGAGAATGCCTTGCCTACTGTCTCCTTGCTGGTCAATCTTGCAAAATACAGCCTCTTCTCAAAAAAAAAAAAAGATCGAAAACAAACTATCAATTATCACTGCATTCTTGTTCTACATAGTAATTATTCTCCCCAAAATGGGCCTTGGCTGGTTAGCTTAGTTGGTTAGAGTATGGTGTTGTAGCACCAAAGTCAAGGGTTCGGATCCCTATACCTGCCAGCTGCAAATAAATAAATAAATAAATAAAGGGCCTTGTAAGATAGCCAAGCTTCAGTGATTATTGCTATGTTCCATGAAAGTTACCTAATCGAAAGGATTTTGCCACTCTGGTGGGTCACCTAACTTGGTATTTTCTTGCCTTGGTATTTATGTGAAAATTGACATCTCTGAATTCCTAAAATGTGTAAATATACACAGGATGTTTGGTTAAATCAAAAGAAGATCACAGATATTTCCTCTTTGACCATATGCATAGAGAAAAAAATTAAAACCATGACTTGTGTTCATATTGTACATCTCATTTACAAGGTGGAGATCCTAGGACTGGGAAAGTCCCTTCCCAGGACTTGGGAGACACAACCTTGGCCTCCTCTAAACCACAGTCAGGTATCCCATGCCTGCGCCCTCCTCCACTCCATCACTAGTGTTTAGGTGAAGAAGGATGTTTCCACTGTACCTTGCTGGTCCAGGACCCCTGCCCCCAGCTCCAGCAACCGCTGCAACTGCTCAGGGCAGTCCCTCTCAAGGTAGGCCTTGTTCTGCTTGGCCCGAATCCTGTGCACTTCCCACTCCAGCTTGGTGGCCTGGGCCCCGGGCTCTGCTGTTCTCCACTCCAGTGACTCAGGGCAGAATTCAAGGTAGTCCTGCCCGTCGTACCCGTACTTCCAGAACCCCCTGGTGCTGTTGTCCTCTTGCATCTCGCAGCCCAGGATCACCTGCAGGGTGTGGGACACTAGCAACACCCCAGGTGTGTTACTAAAACCAAAGGAGCCAGCTCCTGTTTCCACCATCCCCAAGGACTGAATGATCTCAGGAAGCAAATTCCTTTCCTCTTTCCTGCCCCCCAGGACCTCAAACTCCTAACTCTTTCCCTCAAGATGCCTCCCCAAGGTGGTGAAACACAGACCACCTCAGGAAGGCGAGGCCCCCTCTCCACACACCCTTGCTGTGGTTGTGGTTGTCCATGATGGTCCAGAGGTCAACAGTGAACATGTGGTCCCACCCTTTCAGGCTCTGACTCAGCTGTAGCCACAGTTGACTCGAGGTCCTACCCTGGACCCACGGAGCTCGGGGCTCGGCACGGCGACTCTCATGATCGTAGGACACAAACAGCTGGTCATCAACGTAGCCCAAAGCTTCAAACAAAGGCAGCCCAAGGTCCGGCACTGAGGCACCCATGAAAAGGTAGCACAGAGAGTGCGAACCTGGAGAGAGAGCAACAAGCCTTCAGCACGGGCAGCAGGGGGGACAGGCAGGCAGAGGCTCCACACACCTGCCTCGCCCTGTGAGGAGCGAGTCCCAGTCCTGCCTTCCCTCCACATGATGGTCCTGGCTGCTGTCTCCTTGTGTACCTTCCTCTGCCACATGTTACTGCCACCCCTTCACTGCCCCCAGACCCTGCACATTACTCACAATTAGGCAGTTTCCCCTGGAGCCCACAGACTCTAGAAAATCCTAAGGCGTCTTTAGCCATAGTAGTTGGGCTCAGCAGTTGATGCTCAGAGGGAATTAGATTCAAGTCCTGAGGAATTTGCTATTGTGGTTTTTCATTCTTTCCATCTCTAAACCCTTTCATGTGCAAATGTTGGCTGTAAAATGCTGGAGGATCTGCTGATTTAAAAGAAAGAGTTGCCCAGGGCAACTTTTCAGCATCACAACAGTTCCAAAGCAAATATAGAAAGAGCCCCAGGAGGCTAAAAGGACAAGACCCCTAGCAATTGATAAGACCTCTAGCAAGTGAGAGTTTCCTGAAACCTTTCCTCTATTTTAAAGTGAGGGAGCTCAGGAATATGTCCCCAGTGCCTAGAATGGCACCTGGTGTGTAAGAGGTGCTTCATAAACACTTGTTGGATAAATAAATGACTGAGATTTTTATCTCTGGACCTGAACACTAGACTCTTACACCCAACTGCCTACATGACACTACCACTTGGATGCCTGATTGGAATCTCAAACTTAACATGTCTATCATACTGGCCAGCAGCCAAAAACAGAAACAAAAAAACCTGAACACGTCCAAAACCAGGCTTTTAATTCCCCCATGCTGCTCTTTCCTCTGCTTTCACCATCTCAGAAATGACATCACCAATCACCGCATTGCTCAGGCCAATAAAATAAAAATAAAGAGCAGAGGCATCTCAGACGTCTTTCACACAACACGTGGCTCCTTCAGCAATTTCCTTCAGAATATGAAGGTACTTCAAAAAGATCATGGAAAGATTTGTATTATCTTTTAATTCTATTTTTCCATGAACTTTTTTAAGTGCCTTGTATATCCAGAATGCAGCCATTTTTGGTCGTCACAAAGTGCTATTAGCATCTAGTGAGTAGAGAACAGGGATGCAGCTAGACATCCTGCAATGCACGAGACATCCTCCTCCCCTCCCATGATGAGAAAACTTGTTTCATCCAAACTTGTCAGGCCCTCTCAGTTTGCTCCTAGTCAGTGTCATGCTTATTTCCTTCAGGTCTCTGCTCCAACCTTAGCTGAGAGAGAGTGGCTTGCCCTGACCTCTGTGTTTCTCATGTCTTCACAGCACCCATTGTTACCTGATGTATATCTTTCTGCTCCTTTAGTTATTGTCACCGCTCCCACTAGAATAAAGAATATCAGAGGGCAAAGACTTGGTTCCCTGCTCTCTCTCCTGGGCCTAGAATAGTGCAACACATGGTTGAGACTCTTTCTATACTTGTAAACAGTGAATATTTCTGTTCAACACCAAATTTTATGATTCAACCTTTAATGCAGTGTGATGTTATGATGTTTAAGAATCACAGACATGAAGTGGAGACATGGGCTCTGCCAACAAAGCCCAGTGTAACACTGAACAAAGTTACTGGTAAGCGAGCCACGCCTCATTCTTGTCATCTGTAAAACATGGATACACATAGTACCTACCCTCAAAGTGTTGTACTGATGCTGACACGTGATAATGTTTGTAAAGCAATGAGTGCTGTGCTAGAAAACAGCACAAAATCACTGTCAGCTAAGATTAAAATCAGTGGTAGCATTTAGTTTAACATCAGAAAACCAGATTACTTACATTGTTTGTAACCTGGGAAGAGTTATTTAACATGAGGGCCTGTTAACTGCTAGTAAAATAAACGTATTAATAGCTCCCACCTCCCAATGAATAGTGAGAGTCAACTAAGATCTGACATATAAATGTGATTTAAAACTGAGTACAGGGCCGGCCCGTGGCTCACTCGGGAGAGTGCGGTGCTGATAACACCAAGGCCCCG